CCCGTCTAACAGTACAGAAAGCGGCGAGATGCATTTCCTTAGGAATCGACAAGCAGAACCACAACAATGGCGGACACGGACAATTTGCAAATTAGTTATGCCTTTTGTAAGCTGAATTTATCAATAATTTGTCAATAAATAAGGGCGAAAAACGTCACTTGTCTGTCGGACAAGTCAATTGAAAGATCTACTTGTCCGATATTGTAAACAACACGTCCCGGACGGTGGGACGTGTGCTTTTTCGCACACTGCACCCACATCGATAAATGCTCATTTCTTAATTTTATTAGCTGTTCATATACATTTTATCTCCCGAATATTTTTGGTTTACATGCTTGTGTAGATATAACCAAGATTATGATTAAATCAAACATTTTCAGACTTACTAATGTTTTGAGAAAATGTAAACATTTAAATAAAGCATATTCCTGACCTTGAAAACAATTGAGCATTTTCCAAACTATCAAAACGTTTTTCTTAAACCCTGGACATTCATGCTTCTTGTGAGCCCATTCCATCTTGTTAATACAATGCGGGAAGGCAAATGTCCAATGTACACAATGTTGTATTGAACCTGGCTGATATATACATTGATAGCAGCTGAAAGGAGCGGCCGGTACCTGAGGATGAGGTAGCAGCTCTTCCACAGCTCCTTCCCCAGGTAGGTGGTTCCGGAGCGGTACTGCAGAGACCCCTCTTTGGTGCTGGCAGGCCGTCCAGCAGATGGTGGGCCACTCTGGGGGGACAGAGTCATGTCCATGGGATCCTCCCAGTGGACCAGGGAATACAGCTGGATAGACACTTCATATGCCTGCAGACACAAGAAATAAGTACCGGTAGATGTTCTTTATGAGTCTGCAAAAGAATAGTGGGGTTGTTAAATAAAAGAAGAAAATATTCTTCTTTTTATGTAAAATATGAACATTGACTTATAGAGACTTAAGTATGTCTCACTGTGAACAACATGTTTGATTCATTTTCAATATAATGTTATTAATAATAATAATAGCTTGGATTTATATAGCGCCTTTCATGAGACCCATGGTCGCTTTACAAGGAAGAACAGGGCAAGACAAACATAAAAAAACAAAACAAAAGGCAGTCAGACAGACAAAAACAACAAATAGATTAGGGGCCAAAGGCCTTAGTAAACAGATGGGTCTTGAGGGCCCTTTTGAAGGCGTCAAGCGTGGGGATGTTGCGGATCTCCGCATTATTGTGATACATTGAAAAAAGTCTGCATTGCATTACTGTAAGATGTTGTGCATATGTGATCATTTTTGATAACTCATTTCTTTTGTAAACAAGTTTCTATTTCAGTCAAAAGGCTGTCATTCTGAGCAAGTAAAACTAATTACTTTTATGTCAAAACTCTGTAATTTTATTTTATGATTAATAGCTGAATTGCTGCATTTATGTCAGCTTTCTCTCTGTGAGAAACAGAGCTATAATGAAGAGCTAATGGAGTGTATGTAAAGTTTAACATGTCTGTACCTCACAGTGAGATTCCTGGGAGACAAACTTAGTGAGGGCCAGTTTCTCCATGGTAGCGTCCGTCAGCACAGAGGGGTACGGAGGCTCACGACATCCCTTCACCATGGCTGACTTCAGAATGGATAAGAAACACCTGTAAGTGAAGGAAGAGGAACTGGATAAGATCAGTGTCTAGTATGGCTCATATGTGAGATTTTAGAGGTATGCATGCTGGTTCTTTGCACACTGACACAATTACAGATTGCAAATAAGACCATTTATTGAACCAAAAAACAAAGGTGCAGAGATTAACAGGTTCACTCACTGAGTCAGAGAAACATCAGCTGTGTCCAACAGGAACTTCCTTCTTCTGTTGTTGCAAACCACCATCACTGTCTGTTGGTCAAGGCCCACCTAAAGTAAAACAACATTACAAATAAGATATCAGACACAAAACGTTGTGCTCCACTACCCCAGCTGTCATGTCATGCTTAAGTCTACATGGTTCAAATCTTGTAACTTAACATGGATCACATTGAGGATCATGTAGACTGCAGGTTCAACCATGATGTGACAGTTTGGGCTAGTGGAGCAGTATATAAATAGAGTTGCAAGAAAAAGTATGTGAACCCTTTGGAACTACCTGGATTTCTGCATAAATTAAATGTGTTCTGATCTTCATCTAAGTCACAACAATAGACAAACACAGTCTGCTTAAGCTAAAACCACACAAACAATTATATGTTTTTATGTTTTTATTGAACACACCATGTAAACATTCACAGTGCAGGGTGGAAAAAGTATGTGAACCCTTGGATTTAATAACTGGTTGACCCTCCTTTGGCAGCAATAACCTCAACAACAAACGTTTCTAATACGCTACGCATATCAGACTGCACAACGGTACCAGACCGGACGAATTTTGGGACCCATTATCCCTTCTTTACAAAACTGTTCAGTTTCAGCAAATAACTTCTTGGGATTGTTCTGCGTGTGAATCGTCTCTTGAGTCATGCCACAGCTATCCTAAATTGGTTGAGGCAGGACTGCCTGACAGGGCACTCCAGAAGGCGTATTTATCTCTCTGTTGAAGACATTCTGTTGTTGATTTTACTGGT